GGGAGGGGGGTGGGGTTAATAGGAGGCAGCTTAGAACCATGTGTCTCTCCACCAGCAATCATAACCGGAGCTTGGAGAAGAACCGGAGCTCCTCAAAGATCTTCTTCAGCTCCTGTGGATGATGAGCAAACTAGTGGCGGACAGGCATATGGGCAAATAGACACGAAGGGATAGGACAGGAATACAGAAAAAAGGAAGGGGGGGAAAAGGGGGGGGGGGGGGGAGGGAGAGGAGGAGAAGAGAGAGGGGGTGGGGGAGGGGGGTGGGGTTAATAGAAGGCAGCTTAGAACCATGTGCCTCTCCACCAGCAATCATAACCGGAGCTTGGAGAAGAACCATCTGTTCTTGCCCGTCTTGAACCGCTCCTCAAAGATCTAATTCAGCTCCTGTGGTGGAAAATTGGACGATGGGCAACAGGCAGCTGGGGAGAACAGGCAAGTGTGCCAATGGGCGTTCAGGCAGATGGGCATAATAGGCAGGTAGGACAATAAATGGGCATACCGGCAGATGGGCATAATAGGCAGGTAGGACAATAAATGGGCATACCGGCAGATGGGCATAATAGGCAGGTAGGACAGTAAATGGGCAGAGGGAGTCGAGGAAGTAAACGGGGTAAGAAGAGGCAGCTTGAGAACGGGGACAATAGCACAGCACACGAGAAAACGGAAGAAAACATGGATGGACGGAATGGGGGAGAGATTAAGGGGGTCAGAGAAGGAAGGGAAGGGGGGGGGGGAAGGGGTGGGGGGGGGGTAGGTAAGAGGAGAGGGGATATGGCACAGTCAGAGAAAGGAGTATGTAAAAAGACAAGAAATCAACAATCCCTCACCTTCCCCCTTCCCCCTTCTCTCTCCTTTCTTATTCCCCAACAATCACTCACCTTCTTGGTCTCCACCCGCTTCGCCGAACTCTCAAGCTTATCAGCCGTCACCGTGCTCTTGAGGTCCACGTCCAGCTGGTACCTGCGGTCAACGCCAGTCAACGCGGGTCAACGGGAACAGAGGGGAGTTAATGTTAGTCAGACAAGTCAATGGAAAGGTGGGTCAAACTGGTCAAGCTTGTCAGCCGTCCAGCGTACCTGCGGTCAACGCCAGTCAACGCGGGTCAACGAGTCAATGCAGTCAAACGGGGAGTACGTAGATATATGCGGGGGAGAAGCGACGAACGGGAAAAAAAAAAGGGGGAAACGGGGGATGAAGGGGAATGTGAGAGAGGCGGGGGGTGAAAGAGTTTAAGGCGAATGGATTAGGGGACGGAATGACATGTGATGCGGGAGGGATATGTTGGGGGGGTCTTGGGCATGGCATGGACATGGCGTGGAAATGGCATGGACATGCCATCGGAGCGCATCAGCATAGCATGGGCATGGCATGGGAATGACGCGGCATGGCATGCGGTGAAAAGGAAGGCAATGGCGTAGTGATATGAAGGCCGTGTAGATGAATGGTGAAGGGACATGCGGAAAAATAGGGGAAAGGGATTCGGGAAATACGCGAAGGGGGGTGTGGGGGAATAGGAGGCGACGTGGGGATATAGGATGGGATATGGGGACATGGCAGAGGGGAAGAGGGGAAATAGAGGGTGTTTCGGGGAAATGGAGATGTAGGGGATAGGGGGGATGAGGGGGTAACCGGGAAGGTTGCACGGGAATAAAAGGGGGAATAAAGGAAAACAGGCGAGGGGTGTGGGAAAGTGAAATAAAAAAAGGGAGATACGGGGGATAGGGGAAGGAAATGCGGAGAACAGGAAGTGGGGATATGGGGAACAGGAGAGGGATGTGGAGAAATGGGAGAGGGGGATACGGGGAAACAGGGGACGGGGATGCTGAAAGGTACGAAGGAGATAGGGGAGAGAGAAGGGGAATTGCGAGGAGTGTTTAACTTTGCCAGGGAAAGGCGGGGACGTGAAGGAGGGGGGGAGGGGTGAACGGGAGAAGGGGAAGGTGGGGGCGCGGTCAAAGCTGGAGTGGAGCCAATTAATTACCTGATGGGCAGATTAGTTACCTAGTCGGGAAATTAGTAACCTATTCGGCGAATTTATTACCTACTTGGCATGAGGTGATCGTGGATGACAAGCTTGATGCCTTCACTTGCGAGCAATGAAATAAAATACTACTCAGCGTTTCAAGAAAATTTTACATACCTAGTGGGCATGGGGTGGTTGTCGTTAACGAGCTTGATGAAAGCCTTCACTTGCGAGGAAGGGGAATAACTACCTTGCGTTCAAAAACGGACTAATTACCTAGTGGGCAGACTAGTTACCTAGTGGGCATGAGGTGGTTGTAGTTAACGAGCTTGATGAACGCCTTCACTTGCGAGCGCTTCGCGAGGGTCTTGGGTGTGAGCTTCTTCGTGACCTGGAGGAGTGAGCAGGGGTGGGAAGCAGTGGGGAGGAGTGGGGCGGGGAGGGGAGGAGTGGGAAGATGTCTGGGGATGTGGGAGGGGTGAGAAGAGGAAAGACACCCTTGCGAGGGTCTTGGGAGTGAGCTTCCTCGTGACCTGGAGGAGTGAGGAGGAGTGGGGAGGAGTGGGGAGGCGTGTGGAGGGGCGCGCAGGTCTTTGGAGTGGGAAAATTGTCACCCTTTCACCTCAACGCAAGAACTCATACACATCTCTAACGCGTCATCTCAGCCGTCAATCCACGTCCGTAAGACAAGTGACTGATCCTTTATACGGCAAGACACGTATCTCAATCTACGTCCAAACCACAAGCACCCTGAACGCGGCGCCGAAAACATCGGGACGACGGCGGTCTGCCGCACAAAAGATCGCCGCAGAAGAAACTGCCTTTGAGGCGCCTCAAAAGCGGCCTGGCGCACAAAGGACCGCAAATGAAGAAACCCTAATCCGCTTCCCGCAACAAATGAACTATTTCCGCATATTCAAGCGTGGCTGGTGCTTGACGGTTGACGCTGAAACTAAGCCTGCCGGACAACTGCCGGCCAAACTAAGCGTGCCGGACAACTGCCGGCCAAACCAAGCCTGTCCGATGGCTGACGGTGAATTCAAGCCTGACTGACGGCTGACCACTTCTTCCTCGCAGCGCGGAAACGAGAAACGCCAAGTTAACGCACGTCCCACCTAGGTCACGGCCCTTTGATCCCATAACCCCTCGGTAGTTCCTAGGTCTCGTTCCCTCCTCGCTCACACGGGCCGCATTTCTGTCATCTGGCTCTGAGTGTTAATGTTCACGACGCGCATGCGAGACGGCCAAACTAACGGTCTCTCGGTCCTTCCCTCCCTCGCTCCCTCGGTCCCTCGCTGCTGCGATACGTCTATCCTCCTCCTTCGGCCATTCCGCATGTCTGTCCGCCGAGCTGACATTCCGCGCCTTTTCTTGAGGCGCCTGGACTAACGGTCCGTCGGTCCTTCCCTCCTTCCGACCATTCCGCATGTCTCTCTGCAGGCGCAACACGTTGAATTTCACGGGGCGCATTTTCGGTCCCTCGGTCCTTCGATCGCTCGCTCCAACCATCCCGCATGTCTGTCTGCCGGTTCTACAAGCTGATACTCACACGTGGGCGTCCGCGGCGCGTCGCTTCGAATTCGACGTCTACGGTAGTTTCGAGATTGTCTAATCGACAATGTTTCCTTGACCGCTTCTGATCGACGGTGCTGCTTCGAGGATGCTGCTTACTGCGCGGCCTCCTGTACAAACGACTATTGCGGTACTGCACAGTCGAACATACGGAACTAACGACTACTACTCAAGACTAGTCGACGCCGCAAATTACGCATCAATTTCCACGTCAACCGCCATAATTGCAGGTTCCTGATCCGACGCAAGGTCACATCCCACGCCAAGATCGGCCACCTCACCTTGCGGGGATACTTGGAGATCCCGGCAACGAGCGCGTGGCCGTACTGCCGGCCGGAAACTCCGTCGTCGAAATTCTTAACGATCACCGCCTTGCGGCCGGCATAGCGGCCCTGCAGCACCACCACCACCTTGTTCGGCTTCAGGAACTTCACCATTGTGACAGTAGCGAGGGGACGGGACGGAACTACAACGAAAAGGTTGCGGGACGGACGCCCGAGGCTCCTAAGACTGCCTAGGATTGGTGGTGGGAGGGAGAAAAAGGGGTAAGTACAGGAGGAGGAGAAAGGATATGCTTGCTAAACCCTAAACGGCCCTCGCGGGAGTGTGCTGTACCTTGCGCGAATTCTGCCCCTGGATTACTGCTTCTCCGCCAGCCGTTTCCGGTAAGTGGCTGCGCGCAACAACTTCCGCGCTGCTGCTTCCGCGTTGGTGGCTCCGCGGTGCTGCCTCCCGTGGGTGTCCCCGCGCCGTTGTGTGAGCAAAGCCGCTTCCCCGCTGCTGCTCCCCCTGACACAGATAATGTTTCCTCGTTCTGCTGAGGCATGGGGCCATCGTTGGGTACTAGGCTGTGATTTGACAACGACCTTGCGTCAACTGGGTATCGTGCGCAGCTCGTGGTCCAATCATGTTTTTGGAAAGTAATTTCGGCTCTGTCGCTCTCCACTCGAAAGCCACTGGGATGACTTCGTCAAGACGGGAGTGAGATTCGCGATCGATGTTACCCGGTCGTAGGTGAAATGGTGACCCGAGAAGGGTGGTATGCCACGGGCATGGTGCGCTGCTGAGTGACTCTCCAGATCACGCTTTAGGAGGACGAACATGATTCGTCGATCACAAATGTTATGACCTTGTTATGACTCTCAGCACAGTACTTGGCCAAAGAACCCGGAAAAATCTGACCTTCAATGAACAAATCCATTCACAAAAGCAAACCTGTGTATACCCTGTATCTCGATCCATAAGCCATCCTATCGGGGCTATAACTATTGGTGCTACAAACAGATCGCGCAACAGAACGAAAAGATACACTAGCAGCCTTGTACCAAATTCTAATTCTGTTTGCTGCTTCCGCATTGCACCGCACTGCACCGTGTCTTTTGTGACGCGTGCCAGGAATTTACCCTCAATCAACCATTGTTTCAACTCTCAATTGATTGGGAAGGTACCGTACTGCGGAAACGTCACCGCGCAGTAAACCATGGGTGAGCTGCCCACAGGAACAAGGAAGGCAGAATGGATGAACCACAGATGAAGACAAATATCATTACTGTAAACACTACACAGTGGGAAAGCTGTCAAGCAGGAATAAACACATGATTTGTCCTCGCATGTGGGTATACACGCACATGAACCACACCCGGGATGGGGGGGAGGGGAATCGGAAGGAAGGGAAAGAAGGAAATGGAAGAGAAAGAGCAGAAGAAAAATGGAGGAAATGCAAGAGAAAAAAGCCTACTGAAGAACCTTCTTACCAAGCGCCCCTTGTGCCGTCAGCCTCTTTTTCGTATCCCTCACAAGCATCTTCTTTAACAAATCCACTGCCTCCGCGCTCACGCCGCGCCACACGTCCCCTCTATAGCTCGCCTTGGCTTCCTTTATAGCTTTGATCACACCAGCTTCGGTACGCGCCCAGAAGGGCGGCACACCAGCCAGCATGACATAGAGCACGACCCCCGCGCTCCAGATGTCTGCAGGGAAGGAGTAGCTTCCCTCCACCACCTCTGGTGCCACATAATATGGTGATCCCATGAACTCGGTTAGGGGCTTGGCACCTGCAGGATTGCGAGCAGTGTGAAGTGGTGGGGAGTGGTGAGGAGTGGTGGGGAGTGGTGAGATGAAGCAGAGAGAATGAGTGACATAGAGCACGACCCCGGCACTCCAGATGTCTGCAGCGATAGCACTGCTCACCTGGTTTCACGATAGCGGCGATGCCAAAGTCGATCACACGGCAGTCAGAGAGGGACTGTTGCGACTTGAGGAGAATGTTTTCGGGCTTGATGTCGCGATGCACGATGCCGTGCTGGTGGCAGTGCGCTAGCACAGACAGCACCTGGTGGTGGGAATGAAGGATAAGGGAGCAGATGGGATAGGGGAACGAAGGGGATAGGGGCAGGCGTGCATTCAGTTGCATCATCTCTGGCTTGATGTCGCGATGCACGATGCCGCGGTGGTGGCAGTGCAGTGCGCTAGGACCGACAGCACCTGGTGGGAAGGTCGGGGATGGGGACGGTAGAGGAGGAGCAGGGTTCCCAAGTTTTGCCGTCAAACTGTTGTCACCAAGTGTCTTCTGCCTACGTGAGACAAGAGGCTGCACTTAGAGTCATCTCAGAACGAGATGTTACCTACAGCATAATGCCTTGTGTGTATGATGGCCCATATATGGTGCCCTGTGTGAGATGCTGTGTGTGCCTCCAAGTACTACACCCCGCCTCTCACCTGCTGCATGATGCACAGTGCGTCTCTCTCTTCCAGGCGCCGTCTCTCCTTGATGCGATCAAACAGCTCGCCCCCATGGCACAGCTCCATCACCAGATGAACCGCCTGCCATGCCATGCCATGCCCTCTATTGCCCTGTGTCCGTCCCTCCTCTCACCTGCTGCATGATGCCCCGTCATACCCTGCCATGCCCTATCATACCCTGCCATGCCCTGCCATGCCCTATCATGCCCTGCCATGCCCTGCCATACCCTGTCATGCCCTATCATACCCTGCCATGCCCTGCCATGCCCTATCATGCCCTGCAATGCCCTGCCATACCCTGTCATGCCCTATCATGCCCTGCCATGCCCTGCCATGCCCTATCATGCCCTGCCATGCCCTGCCATACCCTGTCATGCCCTGTCATGCCCTGCCATGCCCTGCCATGCCCTGTCATACCCTGTCATACCCTGTCATACCCTGTCATGCCCTATCATGCCTGTTCAAGCCATGAGTGCCCCTCGTCTCACCTGCTGCATGATGCACAGTGCGTCTCTCTCTTCCAGCCGTCGTCTCTCCTTGATGCGATCAAACAGCTCGCCCCCATGGCACAGCTCCATCACCAGATGCACCGCCTGGTGGGCCATGCCATGCCATGTGATGGGATGTAATGCAACGTGATGCGATGCGATGCGATTCAGTGCGATTTCACGAAATGTCACACGTTTCCAGAAGGTGATGTCACACGTTTCCAGAAGGTGATGTCACACGTTTCCACATTAGACCAGTGGAATGTGAAGCCGGCACACATGAAATTGAATACAACACTTTCAAGGATTTTTGGAGAATTCTCAAAAATGCCTGCACACATGAAATTGAATATAACACTTTCAACTTCCCCACGTTAGCTACCCCGCGCCCACCGCATATTCTTTTACCTTACACCCACCACAACCCCTCGTCCACCGCACACCCCTCGCTCACCACACGCCCCCTCACCCACATATTTCCTCGGTTACCACATACCACCACATACCACCGCATACCAATGCATACCACCAAATGCCACTGCATACCAATGCATACCACCACATACCACCACATACCACCCCATACCACCGCATACCACCACCGCGTACCTCCTCGTCCTGAAACACGTCTTCTAGCTTTGCCACGTTCACAAGCCCGCCCACCATCTCATGCACCACCAAGCTTCACCTAGCCTCAGGCTTCTAGCGCCACCACCGCACACCACCGCATACCACCACCACATACCTCCTCGTCCTCAAACACGTCTTCCAGCTTCGCCACGTTGGCATGCCCGCCCAGCATCTCATGCACCACCACCTCCCTCTTCACTGCATCCACATCCGCCTTGCTCTGTGCAGGGCAGAAGGATAGAAAGAGGGGGACAGAGGGAGTCTATAAGCCCATAGTCCTGCCCGCCCAGCATCTCATGCACCACCACCTCCCTCTTCACTGCATCCACATCCGCCTTGCTCTGTGCAGGGCAGAAGGATAGAAAGAGGGGGACAGAGGGAGTCTATAAGCCCATAGTCCTGCCCGCCCAGCATCTCATGCACCACCACCTCCCTCTTCACTGCATCCACATCCGCCTTGCTCTGTAGTGTGTGGGAGGACGGGGTGTAGGAGGGAAGAAGTGTGGGAGGGGGACGGGGCGGTATGGAAGGGAGCATGGCTTTAAGTGCGTCAAGCACCATGTCCGCCCAGCATCTCGTGCACCATCAGCTCCCTCTTCACCGCATCAACATCCGCCTTGCTCTGTAGAGGGCAGGAGGATAGTATTGGAAGAAGGGAGGTTGAGGAGAGTGGTGGAAGAAGGAAGCATGACTCCTAGTCTCTAAGCGCCTCAACCACCATCTCATGCACCATCACCTCCCTCTTCACTGCTTCAACGTCCGCCTTGCTCTGCAGTGGGCAGGAGGGAGAAGGCGAAAGGACAGGGCTCGTGGGGAGCGAGTCTAAAGGCACGTACTCACGCCTGCCCACCATCTCATACACCATCACCTCCTGCTTCACTGCCTTTAGGTCCTCCCCTTGCGCCCTTCCCAAATTGATCTACGTGCATCTCCCCCTCACCTTCGATCGACTTGCAAGCGAGCTGCCGCCCGGTCTGCTTGCACTGCACCCCCCACCCGCCCCATGATTCTTCTCACCTCCCCACCCCTTGCAGGCTTGCACCCTTCCCTCTCTCACCTTCAAGTCGCCCTTATTGATCGACTTGCAAGCCAGCTGCCGCCCGGTCTGCTTGCACTGCACCACGCGCGTCACTCCAAACTGCCCCGCCCCAAGCTCCTTCTCAACCATCATATACTTCTTCTCCAGCCGCCCGAACTCCCGCCCAAGCACGCTCCCGCCCCCGCTCCCAAAGAACCCGCGCTTCATCTGAGCCAGGCCCCTCTTGGCAAACCCTAACAGCCCACCCTTCTTGCTGGATTTGAAAAAGGAGGTCTGGATTTCCTCCACACTGCATGCTGCGTCCCCCTCCACTGCCCCTAACGCGTTCAGGTCCTCGGCGGAAAGAGAGGAGAGGCGGGAGATTTTCTTGTCCCCTCCTGCACTGCCACCACCAGCAGCAGCAGCACCACCACCACCACCAGCAGCAGGAGATCCAGATGCGCCAGGGCTATGGGGACCCCCGACACTCCCAGAGGAGCGGTGAGGGGAATGCGGATCACTTTCAACAGAAGCACGCCTCGGTAAAGGCACCCGCTGCTGCTGCTGCTGCTGCTGCAGGTGCTGCTGCTGCATCGACTGCGATTGGGATCGCGCCAGGGGGGAGTGGGAGAAGTGTGACTGCCCCTGCCCCACGTATTTCCTCTCCACGCCCCCGCCTCCCAGCATTACACCAACATCCATGCTTGATCCTCGAGCTATCCGCCCCTTGGTCTCTCCCCTCCCTCCGTCTCCCCCTCGCTCTCCCTCTCTCTCTCTCCCACTGTCTGCACTCGCCTGTCTTGGAACCCCACCCCCAGGCCTCCCACCTCGGATTCTCTCCATCTCCCTCTCTCTCTCTCTGTCCTTCTCTCTCCCCCACCCTGCATCCACACTCGCTTGCCTGGCGATACGCAGGGCTCCTCGCCTCGCCTCATCAGCCCTTGCCCTCTCCCTCTCCCTCTCTCTGTCCCTCTCTCTCTCTGTCTCCCTCTCCCTCTCCCGATCCCTATCCCTGCACTCATCAACGCTGGAGTGACGAGAAATTCTTTCCCTTCTTTCCTCCCACTCCCTCTCCCTCTCCCTCCTCTCCTCCCAATCCCTCTCCCGCCCACTGTCAACACTCGCTTGCCGCATAATCCTCCCCTTCCTCTCGTCCCTTTCACCTACCCTCTCACCTCGCCTCTCCTCCCTCTCTCTCTCCCATCCCCCGCCATCCACACTACCCTGCCTGGGAACCCGGGGAACCCGATCCCCTCCCCGCCTCTCCTCCCTATCCCTGTCCGCCCGTCCAGAATCTACACTCCCTTGCCGAGGGACACGCGGAATTCTATCCCCCCGCCTCTCCTCCCTCTCCCTCTCCGCACCCCCGCCATCTACACTCGAATGGCGGGGCACACGCGGGATTCTAGCCCCTTTTCCTTCATCTCTCTCCCCCCTACGCTCCACCCTACCCTCATCCCTCTCTCCCCGGACCTTCCTTTCACCCCTCCCCTCCTCCCTCTCCCTTTGATCGAGGCTACTTTGCCTGCTAATCCTATGCCTCCTCTCTTCCCCCTCCTCCTCCTCGTACCTCCTCATCATCGCACCTCCCTCACTCGCTTGCCTAGGTAACCTCCCCCCCTTTTCCACTCTCTCTCCTCTCTCCCCCCTCTCCCCTCCTCTTCCACCTCCACCCCTCTCCCTCTCCTCCTCAACAAACGATCGCCTCCTGTTCCCCCTCACCCTCTCATCCCCGTCATAAGCCTCCTCGCTAGCAACAGAAGAGCTTCTACCAGGAAAAACCGGCGGAAGGCCAGGGGAGCCGCCCCCAGCAAGGGGGGGAAGACCAGGGGGGAGACCGGGGGAAGCTCCCCCCGCAACAGGCGGAAGGCCCCCTCCAGACGCCCCTCTTCCCCCTCTTCTCCTCCCCCCATCCTCATCCCAATCCGCCCGCCCGTCACCCTTCCCCAACCCCCCCCCTGGCTCTGTCAAACCCCTTCCGCGCCTGGGGTCCAGGGGGAGGCTTTCCTGCCTTAGTGTCTCCATGCCAGGAGAAACACCGGCAGCAGCGGCAGCAGCAGCATCGAGGTCTGTATCAAAAGCAGAGTCGCTGGTGGTGGAAATGCTTCGCTCTGAGAGTGACTTGCGCAGAACACGACCCCCTGGTGCTGCTGGGAAGAGAGTGGGGGAGGGGGGGACGGGGGGGGGAGGAAGGAGGGCCGGGAGGGGAGGGGGGTCAGGGGCAGCAGCAGCATCGAGGTCTGTATCAAAAGCAGAGTCGCTGGTGGTGGAAATGCTTCGTTCTGAGAGCGGCTTGCGCAGCACACGACCCCCTGGTGCTGCTGGGAATAGAGTGGGGGAAGGGGGAGAGGAGAGGGGAGCAGGGAGGGGAGGGGAGGGGAGGGGAGGGGAGGGGAGGGGAGGGGAGGGGAGGGGAGGGGAGGGGAGGGGAGGGGAGGGGAGGGGAGGGGAGGGGAGGGGAGGGGAGGGGAGGGGAGGGGAGGGGAGGGGAGGGGAGGGGAGGGGAGCATGTGCTGTGTAGGTCACCTAGCAATCCGCTACTGACCCCTTTTAGCATTGGCTCCCCCACCCCATGGCACACTCACCAGCTTTAGGGGGCAGCCCTCTGTCGCGCAGGTTCACAGCGCTGTCAGCACTGCGGGTGCTGTAAATGTCTCGGGTATGAGCAATTGGGAGCACACAGTCATTCTCTTGAGGCGCCTAAACATCAACCCATGCTCACCAGCTTTGGGAGGCAGCCCTCTGTCACGCAGGTTCGCACCGCTGTCAGCACTGCAGGTGCCGTAGATGTCTCCACTAGGCTATTAGCAAGAAACACCTCACGCTAACTCACCAGCTTTGGGGGGCAGCCCTTTATCCCGCAAATTGGCACCGCTATCAGCACTGCGGGTGCCGTAGATGTCTCGGCTATCATCCCCTAGCATGCTTCCCTTTCCTTCCTTCGGCCTCCTGTTTCTAACCCCACCTCCCTCCTCCCACTCCTCCTTTTCATCCTCCTCCCCCCCTTCCATCCCCTTCCATCCCCTTCCCTTCTTCCACTCCTCCCCCTCCCTTTCCCCCTCCCCCAACTCCTCCGCATATCCATCTGCGCCCATCCCGCGTTCCTCATACTCCCCGGCCTCATTCCTCACTGCGCCTCCCTCTTCATCCGAGCCTACTTCCGAGCCTTCATCCGAGCCTAAGTCTTCATCCCGTGAAAAACCTCCTCTCTGCCTCTCCTCCTCTCCACCATCGTTCTCACTTCCCAAAGGAGATTCGTCTCTCTCCTCCGCATCTCCCGTCCTCTCCTCCCCTCTCCTTCCCGAACCTCTTCCTTCTCCACGCCATTCCTCCTCCTCGTCCTCATAGTCTTCTCTGTCGTTACCCCCCTGCCCCTCTCCCCTTTCCTCCTCCTCCTCCTCTCCGTCTTCCCCCCTTCCAACCCTCCCGACCCTTCGTTTGTCGTCTTTTCTCCCTTGTCCTCTACCCCCACTCCCATCATACTCGTTATAATCCCGTTCGTATGCTCTCCTTTCAGAATCCGAATCCTCACTTTCGTCCGATTCACGCCCCCTGTAGTCACGACCTTTATAATCAGGTTCGTTATAGTCACGCTCATGCAGGTGCCTTTCGTGATCTCTATCAATCTCCCCACCACGCCTCCTCCCTTCCCCATGCCTATCCCTCTCCCTCTCATACTCTCTCTCCCGCTCATACTCCCTCTCCCTCCCATACCCTCTCTCCCGCCCCCCTTCCTCCTCCTCTTCCCCTCTCCTCCCCTCACTTCTCCGCCTCCCCTCCCTCTCCCTCCCCGCCCGCCCCGCGCTTCCGCCAGGCGGCGGAGTGCCACGTGGCGGCCTTTCCCCCTCCGTGCTGTTTTGCCTGCGAAACGCCCTCCCCGCAACACCGCCGCCCTTGCTACCGCTGCTGCTCCCCGGCCGATCGTCGAATCCCGGCGATGCCGCGCCGTGCATTCCGGGCGGCGTAAGTGGCGAGCCGCGACCGCTACACGACATAGATCTGCCCGACGCTGAAAAAGCGGATCCCGATCCGCCTCTGCCGCTTCCCGCGCTCGCGGAGATGCGCCCGCCGCCGTCGCCCTTACTAGGCGTGCTCGGCCTTTCAAGCAGCTGCGCTGCCGGTCGACCGCCAGAACTTGACGGCCGGCCGACGGCCGTTGGACGGCCGCCGCTTGTAGACGGCCGTGCTGGGTGTTGACCCGTCGGCGACTGCTGCTGCTGCTGCTGCTGCTGCAGGAGCGTCATGACTTGGCGCGCTTTGGCCACCTGACGCGTGTTGGCGGCGTTTTCGGGTTGTTGGAGTTTTTCCATGAGCGTTGCTGCTTTGGAGAGCTGCTGCGGGGACACGTGGGCGGCTCCGCCAATCGAAGAGGAGGCGGAGCGTCGGTGGGATTTGTCGTTCTTGCTCGCCATGACGGAATGTGCTTTGAACGAAATAAATAATGATAATGAAATGGCCTATAAACTAGGATGCTGGTAAGGCAGGAGGACCGAAGAATGCAGTGTCTTGTCTCAAAATAGATTATGGTAAATTGCGGTACGGTCGAATCCGGTCGTATACGATAAAACACGGTGGAATGGCGCAACTCTGGAGAAGGACGAAACAACGTTTTCCCTTCAGTCCAGAAGTCCAACTGGGAGTGAGGAGCTAATGATTTTTCGACCCGAAGCTTGAATCCAGAGTGACGAACCACTAATACACGAAATCCTGCTATGAATTGCAATCAAAGGTAATACCTGAATCCTAGAAGGCACTCTGGAATGTAGTCTAATATGCTAACTACATTTGATACTGACTATAATGCAGTCTAGGTGGATGAATGAGAGTTGCTGGCATCGAAGCGCCGTCGGTTCTTAATGGAATCGAAGCGCGCAGCCGGCATTAGTCTGATGGCGATAGTGATGACAATAAGGAGCTACGGAGCATGCAGATAGGGATTGCGAACGACGGCGAAGAGCAGTGGCGAAAGGAGGCGAAACCGTTCTCACGCTCTCGCATCCTACTGCCAACCTCCAAAGCAGGAATGACGAGTGGCATCCACGTCGACAATGACCAAGCTTTCTGTCGGTTATTCTGAATGTTAAGAACCGACACTGGCGTGAGAAGGCCAGTTGCAGAAAATCAGCCAGCCCTTGAGAAGCAGTTCTTAGTACGAAGGCCGAACCTCACCCACGCCGGGAATCCCTGCTTCTACCTCTACTACTCGTGCCAGTGTTCTCTGGAACTAGCTGCTTGGGTTGGGCTGCTTTGTGTACAGCTTCGATCACCTCGACAGGATAATCCCGATTTTTGCATGCTGCTGCTGGTCTTCATTCCTGAACTTGGATAAGATAATCTTGGGGACACATTTTTACGAGGGCGTATTCGATTCACCTGACTAAGCAAAGAAAGCGTTTCCAAAGAACAGATATTGCCAGAGGTGGACTGATCAAGCGCCCCGCAATCGCAACGTCATGCCACGGAGTGCGATACTGTACAGTACAAAGTAAACCGTGTGGTGGGACAGCACTGGAGGAGGAGGTGCGTTGATGGGTGCCCCAACCAGGCAAGGGCTCGCCCATCACACAACTGTACGGTATTCGAACCATGTTCGGGGATGTGGTAGGTGGCCATGATATCCGTTATGAAAAACGTCGCTAGAAATACAGTTTTACAGCACTGTTCTGATACGCATCTTCAACAGAGCGCCCTTCACATTATACAGCAATAATGGAAGCAGCTGCCACCTACCACAATTGGCAGTAGGATGCGAGAGAGTACTTTATTCCATTATTCCTGAACATGTATATATGCGGCATTATCGCCAGCCCTAGTGCCTTCTCCAACAGCTCATATGTGTGCTAGTGCCTTACTGCATTCCTGACATATTGTGCACCGCCGCCTCTAAAGGCGGTGCACAAAACCACAGTACTGCAGAAACCCTAGTCACCCCATACCTACCACAAACACCCGTTGCAGACATGTAAGCTCGGCAGATGGCATGACAATCACCTTCCCCCTCCACTCTACAGGAACCCCAGCGCCTCCTCTAACGCTTCAACCACCACCCGACCGTGTTCTCCCTCGGGCAACCCGCCCCACACATGCCTAACAAATGCTCCCTGCGGGCCTGTAAGCTCGGCATATGGCACGACTATCACCTTCCCCCTCCACTCCGGTTCACGAGCAACGTTGTTCAGATTTGCCTGCTCCCACACGTGATTGTACAACTCGTACTCGTCGTCACTTACATTGTACCATTGCTGATAGAACTGCGGGCGACAGTGGGAGGGGAGGGGAACGGTCGGGTTTGAGACGCCTCAAAACTCATTGCAACCCGTACTCATCGTCACGTACGTTGTACCATTGCTGATAGAACTGCAGGAGACAGTAAGAGGAGAGCAAAACAACAGGATAAAGCGACTCTCTAGTTGACTAAAAAATAAGGTTAGCTTGCTCCCACACATGATGGTACAACTCGTTCCGTTTTCTTGTACATTCTACAACTGGCGAAGGAACTGCATGGAACGGTGGGAAGGGAGCGGAACAACAGGATGAGATGATTCCTCGGCCGATTCAACATTCAAGTTTGCCTGCTCCCACATGCAATGGTACAGCTCGTTCTCTCCCTCTTGTACATTCTACCGTTGTTGAGAGGAGTGCAGGAAGCAGTGAGAGGGGAGCAGAGCAGCAGGGTTTCATACGTCTCAAAACTCGATTATAGCTCGTACTCGCCTTCACGTACATTCTATAGTTGTTGATAGAACTGCAGGGGGGGGAAACATTTGAGGCGCCACAACAGTCAGATTTGCCTGCTCTCACACGTGACGACATACTTCGTTCTCTTCTTCAGGCACATTGTGCCACTGGCGGAAGAACTGTGGGAGATAAAGTGAGGGGAGCGGAACAACTTTTGAGGCACCTCAGCAGTCAGGTTTCCCTGCTCCCACACGCTTTGGTGCAGCACATTGTGCCCCTGACGGAAGAACTGCGGGAGGTAAAGGGAAGGGAGCGGAACAACAGGATGGCATTAGAGATCATTGTGTCGCTCAATAGGATTGCATTAGCGAGCTTAGCACACTCTGGATGCTTCCAAAAGTGATTGTATCAGTTGTGATTGCATTGATGCCTTTGGGAAAAGACAATGGAGAAGGGACAAACATTGTACGTGTGTGACACATGCTTGAGATAAGAGCAGGCAAGAGGATGCTTGAGGGTAAAAAGAGCATGGAAACCTTAAAGAAAATAACACATGCATTCACTTACTTCATTAAAGGGCAAAAGTCAGGATGCTTGCTCCCAGACAGACTTGGCTATAAAAGGTAAAAAGAAATGATTTATTCAAGAAAATCCAGACTAACCTTGAAGCTGTCTCGAGACCTCCGCCAGAGCATCACTCCCGCATTGATGAAATTTGTCTTCTCCTTAAACAGCGTCCCAACGCCCCCCTCAAACCCCGCTCCCAGGTCCCCATTCCGTGGTAACAGAACCACAGGGCCTTCCGGCTGTAGCGCGTTGGTCGGCTGTAGCAGCAGGGCTGGGTCTTGTGGGACCCAAACCTGGCCGTCCAGTGATTCCGTACGGTTTGCTCTCAACAACCAATCGAAATAATTCTGATGGAAGGGGTGTACAAGGTTATGAGAGGCACAGGAAGCTGTTAGTTAAAGCTACGTGAGAGTCTAAGTTGGGAAACACCCTCAGCAGGGAGAGTGTAATGCGTTAATACGCTAGCATATAAATGTAAATACACAGTTTGTTTGGAACACTTAGGAAATGAATATGCAGCTTGAAAAACGACTTTTGAGAACTTTCTCAAGGAAATGAACACGCAGCCTGAAAAAGAGAATCCGAGAAGTTTGAAATGGAAGATGCCGTCAGATTCGAAGATGGAACGAGAATGCACTGATAGGTATGATGGTGGTGGTGGTGGTGATGATGATGATGATGATGATGATGATGATGATGATGATGATGATGACGACGACGACAATGATGATGACGATGATGATGATGACGATGATGATGATAGTGCAGCATCTTGCACTCACGGGTTGATTGATGCTTTGGATCCAGGCTTCAATGGAGAGGCGGTGGTGGTTCATGCGCATGTATGCATCTGAGTCGAGAAAGAAGGCCCACTTGCAGCAGCACGCCAGTTGCTCCTGCAGGAATGGTATCTGCAGGGGAGAGCAGGAAATGGCATGGGAAATTATGATATGGGATGAGCATGCAGGACAAAGAGGCCCACTGGGAGCAGCACGCCAGTTCCTCCTGCAGGAACGATATCTGGAGGGGGAGAGCAGGGAAGATTCAATGCATTCAATGCATTCAATGCAGTCAATGCGGTCAATGTGGGAAAGAAGGCCCACTGGCAGCAGCACGCTAGTTGCTCCTGCAGGAATGGTATCTCCAGGGAAGAGCAGGGAAGATTCAATGCAGTCAATGTGGTCAATGTGGGCTATGCAAACGACACCTTTGGGGAGAGCAGAGAAGAGACAATGCGGTCAATGCAATCAATGCGGTCAATGCAATCAATGCGGTCAATGCAGTCAATGCGGTCATTGCAGTCAATGCGGTCAATGCAGTCAATGCGGTCAATGCAGTCAATGCAGTCCATATGGGCTATGGAAAGGCAGGGAAGAGGAGAGCAGGGAAGAGTCAATGCAGTAAATGCTGTCAATGTGGGCTACGAAAAGGCCCCCTGGCAGCAGCATGATAGGTGCTCCAAAAGAAACGGCACCTGCAAAGGAGAGCAGGGAAGAGTCAACCTGAGGGGTGCCTATCCCGAGAGGTGTCTGTCCTGTGTTTGTCTGTAAGAGGGTGCTGCCCGGTGCCCTCTCCTCATAGGCTCTCACCTTGAATCACGAGGGGTGTCTATCCTGAGGGGCGTCTATCCTGAGGGGGTATGTTTGTAAGTGGGTGCTGCCCTCACCCCATTGACTGCTGCCCTCACCCCATTGACTGCTGCCCTCACCCCATTGACTGCTGCACTCACCCCATTGACTGCTGCCCTCACCCCATTGACTGCTGCACTCACCCCATTGACTGCTGCCCTCACCCCATTGACTGCTGCACTCACCTTGAACCACGAGGGGTGTCGATCCTGAGTGTATTTTGTCCCATTCTCCACCACCAGTCGATACCCATGCCGCTGCGCATACAGCCTGACAGAGAGGGAGGGGCGTGTAAGAAGGAAATTCATGTTGACTTGCGTTGACCGAGTTGACTCGTTCTCGACCACCAGTCGATACCCCTGCCGCCGTGCATACAGCCTGGCAGAGAGGAGGGGCGTGTAACAAGGAGATTCATGTTGACTTGCGTTGACCGAGTTGACCCTTTTCCCCCCACCCAACCAGTACCCCATGTCGCCACGATGCATGGTGATGGTATCAACACATCCTTTTAGGTTAGCATGGTTACATAAATGCACCCATGGGGACATGGTACCACAAATGCACCCATGTGGGCATGGTAACACAAATGGACCCATGGGGACATGGTACCACAAATGCACCCATGTGGGCATGGTAACACAAATGGACCCATGGGGACATGGTACCACAAACGCACCCATGTGGGCATGGTAACACAAATGGACCCATGGGGACATGGTACCACAAATGCACCCATGTGGGCATGGTCACACAAATGCACCCATGTGGGCATGGTCACACAAATGGACCCATGGGGACATGGTACCACAAACGCACCCATGTGGGCATGGTCACACAAATGGACCCATGGGGACATGGTACCACAAATGCACCCATGTGGGCATGGTCACACAAATGGACCCATGGGGACATGGTACCACAAATGCACCCATGTGGGCATGGTAACACAAATGGACCCATGGGGACATGGTACCACAAATGCACCCATGTGGGCATGGTCACACAAATGCACCCATGTGGGCATGGTCACACAAATGGACCCATGGGGACATGGTACCACAAACGCACCCATGTGGGCATGGTAACACAAATGGACCCATGGGGACATGGTACCACAAATGCACCCATGTGGGCATGGTCACACAAATGCACCCATGTGGGCATGGTCACACAAATGGACCCATGGGGACATGGTACCACAAATGCAGCCATGTGGGCATGGTAACACAAATGGACCCATGGGGACATGGTACCACAAATGCACCCATGTCGGCATGGTACCACAAATGCACCCATGTCGGCATGGTACCACAAATGGACCCATGTGGGCATGGTACCACAAATGGACCCATGGGGACATGGTAACATGTTCTCACATGTTCACAGCCAGAGCACCCATATCGGCATCTTTCCCACATACTCCTTCCCATCGGCATCCATCATCTTAGGCAGCCCATCATAGAACCTCCGCCCTATCTCTGGCATCATGGTAACACAAATGCACCCATGCTAACACAGATGCACCCATGAGGACATCGTAACATGTACTCACATGGTAAGATGTACTCACATATTGACAGCCAAAGCGACCCATATAGGCATCTTTCCCACATACTCCTTCCCATCGGCATCCATCATCTTTGGCAGCCCATCATAAAACCTCTGCCAAGTTTCTGGCATTTCTGGAACGCCCCTCCCCCACCTTCTTCCGCCACCTTCTCACCCCCGCCCTCCTCCTCCCATTCCCCCTTCCCCTTTCCTTCCCCCTCCCCCGTACCCTTCCCCTTCCTTTCCCCCTCCCCGTTCCCCTCCCCCTTACCTTCCCCTTCCCCCTCCCCATCCCCCGCCCCATCTCCTCCCTTCAGCCGCCTCCCCATCTGTCCTCCATACCACCCACCCTCCTCATCCCTCTCTCTCCTCCCCACCTTCCCTCCCTCCACCTCCCTCTCATCCCGTCCCCTCACCTTCCCTTTCCTGCCTTTTTGTTCCCCATTCCCCAACCCTGCCCCTACACGTTCCTTTCCCAGTATCCCTACTCCACCTACCCGCTCTCCCCGTCTCCCGTTTCCCCTCATCCTCTCTCCCCCTATCCCCCCCCCTCCCACCCACTCCGCCTCCGCCCCCAAGTCTCTCAAGAGCCGCGCTACAGCCGACTCCACAGCCAGCACCCCCTCAGGGTTGTAGCGCGAGTCCAGAGTGAGAATGCAGCCGGGTCGCGAGTTGTCCAACCAAGCCTGATGTTTCGGGATGAAGGGTGGTCCGGGAGGTGAGGAGCGGTTGCAGCTGTGGATATGTGTTTTTTTTTTTTTTTGTGGCTGTCCCAGCATTAGAGAAAAGGGAACACACACACACACACACACACACACACACACACGCACGCACGCACGCACGCACGCACGCACGCACGCACACACACACACACACACACACACACACACACACACACACAAACAAATAACAAAGGGGCAAAACCAACAAAAAATAAAACCAACAAAAATCAAAACAGACCTTAACGCAGGGGAGAACCAGAAGTGTTGGTGCGAGCAGCAGCGCTCCAGAGGATGCCAATCCAGAAAGAGCACGACATCGCAGCGTTACACATATAAACATAACTTCCGAACGTTACACTCAGCATCCTAATGTTACACAAATAAACAGAACTCACCCGAACATTACACTCAGCATTGTAACGTATCATAAATCAACATAACT